TTCATCCCTTTGGTCTGCAAAATTTCTAGTAAGGGTATCTTTTAAGTTTTCCCAAGTTGCGACATTTTGAATGTTCACCACTAACCTGGCGTTCCCTTTTAATTTAGAAACAAGTGAGTTTAACAAACATATATTTCGGAAATTATTCGGCTGATTTGCTATATAAAAACTGGCAATGATTGAATCACAAACTGATAAATATCGATAGAGCTCGTTCGGATTTCCGTCGAATTCAGGCACGCAATGCAAATTTGTTTCACTATTTGTTAAGTTAGGAAGCGAAAAATTATTATTATTTTGTGAATCTATATTTTCAATTAAATTAACTTGAGAGTTATCAGAGTCAGTTAAAGTGTTGTCGATATTTAAGTTTTCTAAAGAATTCAATAGTGATTCGATAGACATAAATAAAAGTTACTCACATTAAATTAAAACTGATTTTGAGCATATCCCTGCCTATAACTATAAGGAATCGAATTTTCTTCTAAAATTCGTTAGCCTTGCAGAACTGGACGATTTTGTTCCAATCCTCGTTGCTATTCGACTTTGGGTTCTTCAATGGGTCTTCGATAGACTGGGTTTCTCGATTTCTTGAGAGCCACTCCACATCCAACACCTTCACTCGCGAATCACAACAGTTTTATTGTTCGATATCTGGTTAATCGTAGAGACGAAAATCGAGCACGTTCGATACGCGACAATTCCAGATATCCTACTGACTGCGCCAAAAATAAACTTTCAAATTGAAAATAGCTTTTTAAAAAATTTAATTATTTTTTCTAAGTTAAAATTCTACAACTACGATCTGTACTACAAGAAATATAAATGTATAATGATGTTAAAAATGAGAAAACTAGATAAAATGCATAAAGTCCTAATCAGCGGTTTCCTAGAAACTGGTAACTCTGATAACGCCGACATCTGCAGGATCTTTTACTAGGGCTGATGTAATTACCTCCTAACTAAAAGCATATGGTACCCATATATCACTAGAGTGAATTATGATAATTCATGCTTTTGTAATTCTGGCAATTTCCGGTGGATAACTAAAGATGGGCGATACTTTTCATAACGATATTTTCTAGATCGAAAAATCAGAAATTCGAAAAATTGGAAAATTGAAAAGTCAAAAAATCAAAAAAATTGATAAATCGAAAAATATAAAAGTCGAAAAATCGTATATTACCTTGCATATATACTTTTTTCTGTTTTCTCTGTTAATTTAAGTTATCTATCCAGAATTTTTGTTTTATTTTGAATTACGTCACCCTGCGTGAATAATGGCTACCATAAAATGCTCGTTTAATAATATATTATTATTTTTAAACCCTAATTCAAAATAAAACAAAAATTCTAGATAGATAACTTAAATTAACAGAGAAAACAGAAAAAAGTATATATACGTAATCCCTGTTTGTTTAGTAAGTAGGTAGTTTTCTTTTTAACATTTTTTAAACAATTTTTTAACAATTTTTTTTACATATGTTTTACTTTTTTTTAATTTTATCATTTTTTTAAAATGGTATTGTCAAATAATATATTTAGGGTTCATGTACTATAGGTAAAATAGTTAAATAATTTTTCATTTATTAAAAAATATTTATCTCATATTAAATTATTGTTTTCATTTTTTCACATTCATTGTTTAGTTTATTTAAAGATATTATTTCTAAAGAGAAAGTATAAATTCAAGTTTCTTAATTAATTGATACTTTTATGGAAATTTGTTGAAGTTGCAAAGACAGCAGTAAATGTGGTTCAACGAATTACCTGATCAAGCAAAAGTGAATGAACCCGAACTTTCTTTATAAAATATTAAATATAATTAATCACTTGGTTTTGAAGAGTGACACAAGCATCATCCCTCTTACAATTGTACCCTTGGTGAGTACCTAATTAATTTGTTATTTTTATCATTATTCAATGGAGATTGTCTTTTTCCTTTTTTAAACGAATCATTTACTTATTAAATAAATATTTTCAATTATTATTATTATGTTTTATTAAAGTAGTTCTACCCGGCGGGTCCTTTTTGCCCACAAATCTCTGTTTTCTACCTGTGTAAGTAAAGGGGTGCGTTAATCTTACTGGTATTTTGCCCACAGTAGCATTCAGGTACCTAAACCCGCAAATTACATCCGCCCACAAATAGGTACCTACCTGATTATTAATAATTCTAATAGGTACTTACTTTGGGTGTTTACTGTTTATATTTCAGTCAGTTTTTATACGTTGATGATTGTAATTCGAGTATTTATAAACAATAATTATTTCTATAATGTCAGCTACATTGATTAAAAGCACACGCGGGAAAGATGTACTCCTTTTGGAGAATTTTACGTTTGCCAAAGATAGAGAAATGAAAAGTGGAGAAGTTTCTTGGAGATGCTCCCAAAGAAAAACAAATGCTTGTAATGCCACTGTATTTATAATTGGTCCTGAACTTTTCGTATCCAGAGGCAACCTAATTCATAGCCATGAAGCAAATGAACCGAAATTAAACAGGAAAATTATTTCTAATTCGTGTAAGCGAAAAGCAGTTGATGATATTTCGGAAAAACCTTCTAAAATTATCCGTAAAGTACTTGCTACTAATTTACCAGAGTCACTAACTACAATTGATGTGTCCTACATAAGAAAAACTATATACAACAGTCGTCGCAAAATACTACCAGGTCCATTACCTACAAATATACAAGAAGTGCATGATACAGTTGACTTATATTCTAATACGTTTAAAACCAGTAAAGGTGAACATTTTCTTTTAATAAATAGCAGAGAAAATAATATTATTGTATTTACATGTGAGACAAATATTCGTACTTTGTGTAAAATGAACGTCTTGTATATGAATGGAACATTTTCGTATTGTACAAAGTTTTTCCTACAATTATTTACCATTCATGGGCTGTGTAATGGACACTATGTGCCCCTGGTATATTGTTTATTACCAAACAAATCTACCGATATATACAAACATTTGTTTTCGTTATTGCATTATAAAATTTTGGAAACTTACAGTATTGCTTTAAATCCATCTAAAGTGTTCGTTGATTTTGAAATAGCAATTCATAAGGCGTTAATTTATATGTGGCCTAATACTGTAATCAATGGCTGCCGATTTCATCTACATCAAGCGTGGTATCGTAAAATTCAGTATCTGGGATTAATGACTGAATACACAACTAACAGTGATACCGGAAAATGGCTTAAAACATCATTTGGGTTGACATATTTAAACGCCGATGAAGTTGGAGACTGTTTTGTGTTTGACTTAATGGCAAGTAAACCAGAAAATGCCGTTCTCGATAGGTATGCCGATTACCTATTAGAAACATATATTGAAGAAAATTCTACATTTCCTCCAAGTATATGGGCAGAAAAAACAGCTTCAATTACAAGAACTACAAATGCCTGTGAGTCGTTTCATTCAAGGTTTAATTCTTCATTCTACTGTACACATCCTTCTGTATATATTTTTATAGAAAAGCTTAAAGACTTTCAAATCGACACGTATGTCACAATACAAAGCTTAAGTATACCTAAGAAAATCAAAGACAAGTGTAAAACAAAAAATTCAGTGTTTAGAAAAATTTATACAGCGATTTGATCTGCAGCAAATCAGCAGATTAGAGTATATAAAATTTGTATCACATTTATCCCTCCCAGTTGAAAAATATTTAAATAAAATATAAATATATAAAAAATATAATATAACTTATGTATACTTACTTTTTTATAATAATAAAAATTAGTGTTTAATATAATTTTTAGTTTAATTAATAATGTGTTTTTACTTTTCGATAATATATAAAAAATAATAAATGAAAGATATATCTATTATGATTTATTCAGTTAGAAATAAATTTGGGCAAAATACCAACAGAATTAAGATGACCTATTACTTGCTGTGGGCAAATTACCTATAGGATTAGCAGCTTTAAATATTTTGTGTGCAAATTACCTCCGCCCGTTCTACCATCTAGCTATAATTAACCCCTCAGCTCGTTTAGGGAAACATAAAAACCCTAAACGCGGCAGTATTTAATATCTTTTTTTTACATAGCTTTTTTCACCTATGAGTAAAGTTGAAAGTAAATACTTGCTGATTAAACTATAGGACTAGTGTTTATTAATCTGTCAAGTAAATCTACATGTAACTTTACTCAGAGGTGAAAAGAACTGAAAATTTACTCGTTACTTCTAATAGTAAAATAAAAATAAATTACTACAAGGTACCTCAGAGCATGAAGTGTATAGTACTGCATCAGAGATCTGAACAAATAATTAAAAAAGCATTTAAAATACATACAAATGAAGAGGTTATAATACCTTATACACGAATTTCAGAATTAGAAATTCCACGGTGTATAACTGTATCAAAAAATAATACAGCTTTATGTACAGAATCAAAAATAGCAGTAGATTTAAATGAATCATTGGAAGCAGAATTGTTCGAGATACAATTCTATCTCCCAATGCCACAAAAATTAAATTTGATATATCTAAAGTTCGTACCTAACATATAAATTCAGAAGAACCCGAAATAATGTTAAAATTAATTAGAGAATATTCCTATATTTTTCATGTAGACGATAACAAATTAACATTAAAGGTGCCATATGGGAACGCGAGATCAGGACAGGAGAAAAATTTTGTTGAATTTCAAGTAAATTTCTAAAATGTTCTATGCTTAGATTTGTTTTATTCCATTTCATTACAATTTGTCTAGAATCTGATTTTAATTAGTAAATATCCAATATTTTGAAAACCAACTTTTATCGGAAATAAATTATTTTTTAAAAACTACCTTGCGGCATTTTTAAATTTAAGTTTTGTATAAACTGTTTGTACTGGGGGGGCTGTAACTCTACATCCCTTAGACAATCTGTAAATGGGTTGGATTAAAAAACATATTTATTACATTTCTAAATAGTATGATCGCCTTAATAAAACTAAGTGCCAAAAAATATAATCGTCTTACTTTCATATCTACTTACCGTGTCTGTTTAGCTGCTTTAGCGTTTTTAATAGTAATCAATTGTTGAGCAATTACAGACAATACTTCAATATCAATTCTGTTGAATTCGTCAAAACAACACCACGCGCCTGACTGGGCTAGACCGGAGAAGAACCTTCCCATCATCTTATAGTCCAATCCCTCAGAACAATTAAACACCACGCATTGTATGGCAAGAGCTTTGGATAAATCTTTGGTGGTTTCCGTTTTTCCTGTACCAGCGGGACCTGCAGGAGCTCCACCTAAACAAATAATATGTAATACACTTTATATAAGAATCCAAAATGATTCGTAGTTTCGTAAACAGTTAAATATACAGTAATTTTGTTGTCTTTTGGGAGTGAACTACAAATTCTTTTTTTTAAATTAAGCCTTAAAAAAATTCACGTACATCTAAGAATACAATTCTTGTTTTCAAGTGTCAATTTAGAGCCGTGCGTGATTAACACAGATATGATTCATTTGTCTGTTTTTGTCATTTTAGAAACATTTTTTTAGATCACTCTCTATAATACGGTATCTAACAATATCCCACGTGATCAAATTGTAATATCACCAGTTGGTGAAAATGATTAAATTAGATTAAATTAAATTAGATTAAATTAGATTAAATTAGATTAAATTAGATTAAATTAGATTAAATTAGATTAAATTAGATTAAATTAGATTAAATTAGATTAAATTAGATTAAATTAGATTAAATTAGATTAAATTAGATTAAATTAGATTAAATTAGATTAAATTAGATTAAATTAGATTAAATTAGATTAAATTAGATTAAATTAGATTAAATTAGATTAAATTAGATTAAATTAGATTAAATTAGATTAAATTAGATTAAATTAGATTAAATTAGATTAAATTAGATTAAATTAGATTAAATTAGATTAAATTAGATTAAATTAGATTAAATTAGATTAAATTAGATTAAATTAGATTAAATTAGATTAAATTAGATTAAATTAGATTAAATTAGATTAAATTAGATTAAATTAGATTAAATTAGATTAAATTAGATTAAATTAGATTAAATTAGATTAAATTAGATTAAATTAGATTAGATTAAATTAGAATAAATTATATTAAATTAGATTAAAAAAGGTACATAGGGACCTTTTCAGATCTATTATTGTGTGACTCCGTTATTGTATGTCGTTTAGCTTGGTCTTTTTTATTATCATTTTTAATATTTTTATAGGTTTTTATATATATTTTTGTTAAATTTGAAATAAAATATTATTCAAGCTGACTATGACTATTTGCATATAATTAATCTAAAAAATATTACCAAGATCCAACTGCAGAGCTCCCATTAAACATAGGTAACATCTATCTGTCAAAGGAGTAATAACTAATACTCCCGCAGCACCTAAATATTCATATCCATATAAATACAAAGCACTAGACATTCGAGCAAGGCAGTCATCGACGGTTTCATCCCAGTAATATCTCAGTGTCTTTAACCATTCGAAACTTTGGCTAAAAATAAAGAAAATGATGTTTAATAAATTATGTGTAGGTAAAAGTTGAATCTGAGCTGCTTTGACTGAGCCAGAAAGCACTTAATGACGGCCGAAAACCAACTTTGAAATTAAAATAAATGAATCTTGGTATATCAATTCTACATCTTTAAAGTATACTTTTAACCAAGCCACTTGGTTGCGCGTGAAGGACGCTGGTTACTTTTAAAGAATTGCTTTCAGAGGAAAACGTTTTATTCATATATAAAAGGTGACAATATGTATATCAAATTGACATTAATTAATAATTATTACATTCAACATATTTCTATAGAAACATGGTAACAGTGGCTTGTCCATCAACAAGCAAACTTAATAATGGTTATATTACTATGGGTAAATTTACAGATTGTGAGATTATGCTTCTGGTGGTTCTGTAGAGGTTATTTGTGACGTGATTTTAAAAGAAGGTTCTGTGGAAGGCAGTGATTCTAGCTGCTGTAATGAACCTTATTTTCATTACTATTTTATTACTCATATTAAATCATTTCAGGGTTTGCAACACCGAGATTTCCGATTTAATCTAAAATATATTTTATTTCCATAATTCTGAGGAACCCGGTATGCAAGCGTTGATGTGATATTTCGAACCGTGTATCGTCCCCTCTTCTAGTACAAGAGTCGCGCGCCGGACGGTCTGATAAGAGCATTCATGGTTCTGAGACCGCAGAAGAAAAATTTTGGCAATTCCGGCAATTCGATCGAGACCGCCGAATAATTTACTTGGGCTAGCTCTAGCTAACCGTCTCCGCGCGATAATTTTCTGATCGATTTTAATTTTGCTTTCGACTAATAATTGTAAATGTAATAGTAATTAAAATTCCGAATCTTCATAGTATTTCCATTAAAGGTAATTTAGTTTCAGAAATTTATTGTTTTGTTTGATTTCATGTTAAATTGTAAAAAAACGCCTCATCTATTGTGTTCGTTTTTTTTCTTCACACCGTTCGAAGTAAAAACGAATTTTGAAGCCAGTTTAAGATAAATATTTTCGAACCTGATATAATATTTTGTTTACGAAAATTATTTCTTTTCGAAATAATTTTATTACTTTGACACCTTAATATTTTTCAAATACGACTTTGATTTTGCTTTGCCTTGTAATAGGAAACCGAATTCAATTACCTAAAATTATTTTTAATTTTGTTTTGATCGTGATTTAACACGTAAACTGCCTGATAGTTTGATTTTTACCTTCTTTTCGTTTCTTCGGGCATATTGAGTAGAGTCTGCGCTATATTTCAAGTTTGGCTCGGCCTGGCTCCTAAACTCGTCTACACTCCTCAGATTCTCTCTCTAGGGCCTTTCCTTCCGACTTTTTGAACAGTATCTGAATTGTATGACGTTTTGGCATCACATCAAGATTTCAGCTCAAAGAACTAGACATTTAGCCGGCCCGGCCTCGCTCGTGGTCAAATACTGGTTAAGTCTGTTAATTGTTTTAGGGCCATCTTCCCTCTTTATAAATTTTATGATATTCCCCGACCGTATCTAATTAATATTCGATAAGTAAATGTTCCTTCTTATTACAAGCCAAGTAATTTTTGGACTTATACCGTGTGTCTTGTAACGAATTATGTTATTATTTCACCTTGGGCTCTTATAATCTAACAATTTCAAACATTGCCGTATCACCGACGACTTTAACGTTTTAAAGTACCCTTAACCGTCCGATTGAGAGTTCCAACTTCAACCGTTTCTTGTAGTGTTTTTGTTCAGGGATTCCAGAATACCGGGGGACGTACAAATATTAGAATCAATATTGTCTAGTTTTCGTAAGAAAATACATGTATTAAATGATCCTCTGGCTTATTATTATTATTAATACTAGTAATATTACACCTGTCAAGGGTCACATGCTTCCTACCTACCTATTTTTTAGTAGTGAACATTGTATAAGTAACGATTAAAGCCCGTTGCTTACACTTACGTTACCTGGCTATAATAACGTTGCCCCATGGAAATTTTATTTCTTCAGTGTAGCTACCTGAGTATTCTTTTGATACGACGACTTCAGAAGATAGTAGAGTAAACCACATTAAAATAATCTGGCGCTCGAGCAAACCCGTCCGAACGCCATAAGTGAGAATAGTTCCTCAATTCCAGAGTAACCCTCTCACACTGTTTGTTGTGATCGCGGTAGAGATTTATTTAGAGTTTCTGTGGTAAGAAGATTTTCATTACAAGATGATTATTGTGAGATTTGGATGCATTGAGAAGTTTGTGATTTGCATTGGGGAACATTATGGCCAGATTGCTTGCATTTGAAGCATATATGATTATCTCTTGTGATGAAAAATATATTACTGACTTCATCACAATCTATATCTATGTGCTCTGATATGATTATATTATCTAGTGGAGAAATATATAACTGACACCTAAAACTTAGTATATGACTGTACGCTGGGTCTGGGGCATTTATTCTTAGTGTAGTCATCGGAGAAGTTCATTTGGAATGGTTGCACTAACATTTGATAATAAAAGCCTTTCTGATGGAGTAATTAGCTCTCAGACTGGAACTGTTATGCCATTAATAGCTATTAAACCATAATCATTAACAAACTTATCTACAACGCTTTTGGAAAAAAAGATATATACATATTCGATTGTTAAAAATTCTTGAACAGTAAATAATATTTTTTGGGTTGATAATTGATTGAAGTGGAAAAAAATAATCTTAAATGGTAAATTCTTCTAATGAAGTAAATACGATTGGTTGGTAACATTGCTGAATTTGTAGACAACGCAGTAGAGTATGACTTATTATTGAAAGAAGGGTTTTGGTTTTTATTTAAATCGGTTACAGTTGCTTTATCGTTGATTGCTAATGTGCTATTGTTATCCATTATTTATTTTCTTTTTTAAAAAGTTTTGCTTCATTTGGACTGAGTGCGTCCCTGGCAGATGGCCAGAATATGTAAAAACCAACTAAAAATACCAGTTTTGATAACTGAAATGATTATAGTGTTCTTAAATTTAATATTTTATAGCGAAACTGATCTATTAGATTATTTAAAGATTAAATTATTACTCACGTACGATTCACAATAAATAAATTAACACTATTTTTAAAAAAATTGAACGATTTATACCACTATTATTTTTCAAACAACTAGGAACTGTTTACAAAGGTTATAGTAGACGGTACAAATAAATTTTACTATTTCATAATTAAATATCAGCAATAATAATATATCTATATATAATTCACAAAGTTACTGCCGACGTTCAGAAATTGCAAAAATAAAGTAATGCTTTTAATTCTCTTACAGCTAAACGATTGTGTACGTTGAGCTACGAGCAAATATGCTGGAAGCTAGTATCAAATAAATACTTTATGTCTGGCATCGCTGTACGATGAGAATCTGTCGGCTCGATTAATTATAACACCTTAATTTGCTGGTTATTATTAGCGACTTGTTCGGCAGATTATCACCATTATTATGACATTTAACTTTTCGAGAAATGGTTTGGTGAACAATTCTGTTATAGTAATGGATAATGCTCCTTACCACTCTCGCCAAACTATTGAAATTCCAAAAGCGAAAGCTAGAAAAATTTTTAGACAAAATGAGTGTATCATATCCACCTACAGTTTTAAGAAAAGATTTTCTTGCAATATTAAAAGGCTTAAATCTCAAACCTAGCTATGTTCAGCTTTCGTTCATATCGTAATACTTTTACCACCGTATTATCGTACATTAAATGCCATAGAATTAATTTGGAGTAATATCAAAAGGGCGGTCCACAAAAAAAATAATTCTGTGTTGTCTGAAACCGTTTTAGATGTTATCAGAGACGTTGTTGGTTACAAAAACCATAGACTAAATGTAAATTCTCGAAAAATACCATTATTAGCTGATAAATCAAGTCATTGCATTTTAACAAAATTTTAGTAGTTTTAGAAGTTTATTTTAATTTTGCTCAATGAATTAACGTTGTGGCTTATCATGTTTTATTTGTTATATAACAATATGTCGATTTCATGTTTCTTTACGAAACGTTCATTTGATCAGACTATAAAAATACAACAAACAATAAATCTTCGTAATAGGTATGTTCACTCATCAAATAGCATTAAATGTAAAATAGTAAAATGCGCACTTTTTGGGTATAATTTCATAATAGAACCATAAAGATTCAATTTCCTCCTTTAAGAATGATACCTCTACGGATATTTTCAATATACCAGCAAATGATGACGAGCTCGTAGTCATGTTCTGCCAAGATAACTACTATTTAGAGATAGCACGATTTTGGTGTTAGCTTCACAATAAACACAGTTTTATGAATGACTAATTGGAGATAATTGTAATAAACATCAGACTTATATACCGCGCAATCTCGGTCAAAACACAATATCCCCTATAGACGCATATATTTCTCATATTTATGCTTACCTGTTACTTATTTTAGTTGCCACAATTGCATGAATAGTATCTCGAGCATGTACATCAATGGTTATCAGAGCTATTACTACTTTTCTTACAACAAAAGGTATGTCCAACCTAACCAATGCTGCTAACTCATTAAGGTCCTATAAAAATAATATAAATTACAATACCTACATGGTATTCCTAGAATTCTAGGGTCTGCAAATTATATTCTAAAACCATCGACCTAATTGGGTGATAATTAAATAACTACAGGTTAGAAAAAAAGTATACGAGCCATATCTATTAATTATTGTAGACTGCAGTATGCTAATATTCATAAAACAGGAGAGTTAGTACGTGTATTGTTTTGGTATTTTATAAAGGATGCACCCTTTATATATAACGGTTATTTTAGTACCTGATACAGCTTGTTACTTGATGTGTTCGCTTAAATGTCACCAAGTGACTTAACAATTGACAGGCAGGTCTAACATCAACAGGTGTTCCCAACCTACGGGTGCTGCTAACCTTTGAAGGTTGGTTTACAAAAACCTGTTTATGTTACAGTAGGTATGTAGACGTTAGCGTAGTATACACAGTATAGAGATGGCCATGCATTCGCTTTGCCTATACGATATGGCTCGTTTATTTCTTAAATTTAATCATAAAACAATAACTGCCAGTGACATTCATATGAGATGAAACAAACCAGACCAATAAAAGTGATGGCTAGAAACCTATACCCTACCTGCAAGCCAGCAGATATAGCTGAAGAATTGCAGCACAGAGTGGATTAAATATCTTGGCTACAGTTAATATCCTAAGGAGAGAAACTAAAGAAGAAGAAAGAAGAAATTAAGCTATAAGAACTGTTATAAAAAAGCCATTGCCGCTATTCATGTTAACATTTGAAAACGGTGAAGACATTAAAAGGATTTACGAAATTAAGACATTACAAAACCTAATAATCCAAATTGAGCCAATGAGAAGCCCAAAATTGAAACCACAATGCAAACGGTGCCAAAAATGTGGGCATACTAAACACTTTTGTAATAGGCAACCCGTGTGTTTTAAATGTGCTAAAAGCCATCTAACAGGAAAGTGTGATGAGCCGGTAAGTATACCACCCAAATGCACAAATTACAATCAAGCAAATCCAGCAAGCTATAGAGTGGCAAAAGAGATACAATGTAGAAGAGACCAGGTAATCAAAACTAACCTCAATAGAAATAATACCCAAACTAGACGACCTATCATTAATAATGCACAAAGAATGGTAAATTTGACTTTGACATACTCAAACGTGACTAGTAATAATAGACCTAATTAAACTGAAAACGAATCTTCAACGAATCAAATAATGAACATGCTTGATGCAATTCTAGAGAGAATTACCAGATTAGAGAAGGTTACCTTCCCCCAAACGTCTAGACATCCTTAATGAAGCGTCAAGACTTAATCATTGTAACATGGAATGCCAATGTACTCCTTGACCATCGAGAAGAGCTACAGGTGTTCCCAATAGAACAATATATAGATATCTATCTAATATCAGAAACGCATTTAACAAAATAAAGCTATATACAATTTACAGGATACAAAGTCTATAGTACTATCCCAGCTAGCAAATAACGTTGCCAAGCCTTTCGGCGATGTTGTATTAAGGTAACGTAATAACATTACTGTACAACGTAAATGCAACGTTCATGAGAAGTTGTTGAGGGAAATCAGAACCTCGCAAAACTTCTATTTGTTATTTACCTAGTTAGTTAACCTACCGTAAACATTACAAATCTGAATTCAGAACGTTTAGTTTTATGTCAATTGTCACTTGTCAGTTTTTCTTGTCAATTGTCTTTTTTAATGGTTTATTTTTCGACATCCAGAATTTATTTTATAAATAATTATTATTTATACATTCGAATAGATTTGGTAAGAGTCCTCTATAAAATAGATAACTATTTTCTAAACCATTGTTTTTGTTTCAGATTACAATGCCTGATGTAAATTTATTATTTCATTCATTAAGTATCTTTAGCAGTCGATGCCGATGACACCAAAAAAAAAAATACAATAAAAACAAAGAATTGCAGATCAATCGTTGTAAACCAGAAGATAATCATTTAACCGAATGTCCGGCAACATTTTACACCAAATACTTATAAAAGGTAATTATACTTTATCGAACTAAAAATACATTTTAAAAATATTATTTTTTAGGTTTCCTTCGACATTCTAGGAATTTTAGAAGCAAAAGTAAATACTACAGAAGTGTAAAGAAGAATATAACACCTGAAGTTTTATAAAAAGTGAATAATCTATAGGTACATGATATGTCAGGTATATCAGAATTCAAGCAGTTCATTCTCTTCAACAGGCTAGATTGCCTGGAAATGCAACCATCAGTTCAAGTGAAAACCCAGCAGAAAAGTTGAGAGAAATCATAGATGATACTCTCGAGTATAATAGAATATCTTGCTAAAAAACACCAGTTTTTATAAAATCTACATATCGATGGCTAAATCAAATACTGCCACAACTAAAATACTATTATTTCGAGAAATTTCATTTTGAAATTTTGTAAGTATCTATTATCATTATTTTGTTTTTGACATACTCTTTATATTTTATTTAAAAGCTTCGATATTTTGCTGTTAAATAAAATGATTACGATTATAAAAGTGAGTTGTTGCATAGTTGTAAAAAATTTGGGTGTTTTTGAAGAAAATAACTCAAATTGAGGGCAGTTTTAGACACAGTTGTGGCTACATTTTAAATGATTTATCTTTAAGGATATTTTTGTTTGTGGTGGTATTTAAAGTAAAACCGTAATGATATTTTGCATCCATTGAACCAAAAATGTAATTGCTTTGTTTTTTGACTTGTGGCGGTTTTTGATTGAGCCTCGGATTGAGCCATCGATATATCTACCTTGGAAATCAAGCATAAAATTTGTAAAATTCAAACAAATTTCAATACACTAACATTGGTTGTTTTATTTAAAACAACAAAGTAAGGCATATTTTTTAATTTCTATATAATTTCCTTTAATTAATAATAGGTAAACAAGTTATCAATTTCTTTTTTATTCAATGTATTGAGAAGTAAAATCTTTTTATATAAAAATATAATTTATGCTCTTCTAATAAATTGTCATATTTAGGTTACATTATAGCACTTTATAAATATCTATGCAAAAAAGTTAAAAGGCTTGATTTAAAAAAGATATATCTCTGTGTCTTAGGTAAGAAATCAGCGAACTTAGCTATCCTCTAGTAATCTAATATAATAATATGTACCTAGTCATTGTTGTATTCGTTTATTATTTTTCACCAATCTAGCTTTATCATCGTTCACCATTTAAGGTTTTAGTGAACCTTTGCAATATTGGTACCTTATTATACTATTTAGCTAATTTTGTCCAATCGTTCAGTGCTTTCTAGGTAGCTTCTTCTATCCCACATGTGTACTTGTGTTTGTGATATAAGGTGTGTTCTTTTATTCAATAATTGTTCCATCAGTGATTGATGTAATTTATCTATTCTGCAATCGTTTTATATTTGAACTCTTATATTTTAGGTTAACTTAAATGATTGATTATCCTCACCATTCGTCTATCACATATCCATCGGCTTTTAAAGCCGATGGATGCCTTGGCTCATTGGTGAACTCACCGCTGGAAAAAAGAATGATTGACACATACAATCGTCTTTCCATCACTTAATTTACGAACGGTTTGCTGCAAGCGCTGGATACAGCACTGAATAAAAGAACACGCCTACACCTACCTCTACTTTTGTGCTATTGGTACTTGATTTCAAGAACATTTTAATAATAAATTTATATAAATATTTTGTTTTATTTGAAATTTTCATGTCTCGATTGAGATTTTACTATAGCCTCAATTTCAGCCTCTCTGTATTACATTACACAATGTGTGTCCACGGATGGACTTAATTATACTTGTAAAAATATTTATTTTAAATTAAAGAAAAAGTTATTTTTCATAATTTCTCAATGTGAATCGAATTTATTTAACAAGCAAGAAATTATGAAGAATTACTTTTTTAATTTAAAATAAATATTTTCACAAGTATAGTTAAGCCCATCCGTTGACACACTGTATAATGCTGTAGATCTAATTCACATTATAACATCAATAGAACGTTTCAGAGCAACTTTCGGGGTAAGTACCGTAAAAGTGCTAGTGTGATGTTTTTCGAACTTCACTTTGTAACTTCTGTGAGATGTGCTATAAAAGTCTTGCCGTTGCGGACATTCGGTAGTTGCAGGGAGATAAGGGTTACATTTACAGTACATTGCATGCGAGCTTAAAGAGCCTAAAATTGCAGCTTATTAACGTAGATGGGATGTTTTTGTGCTAGCTGGGATACATCCCTCGGATACCGCTAGAGGTGGAAGCACCGTAATAATAAAAGAAAATATTAACCATTATGACGAGTACAAAATAGGAACAGAAGAAATACAGGTAACAACAGTTAACATAAAAACGAATAAATACAGTTTGGCAATCGGAGCAGTATATATCCCACCTCGAAAAATGGGAGAAGTGATTTTAATGCCAAAATATCATTTGGAGCTCGAAATTAACAACCACTAAAGGTAGGGAATTGCATTCAGCTGCAAGTGAAATTCGGATGTGACTACCAGTCAACAGGAAAACCAATCTATTGGCCAACCGACAAAAATAAAATATCTGACTTACTGGACTTCTAAATCACTAGAAAAATACCCGGAAACTTTGACTTAGGCTTGAATCATTCTCCGGTAATAATGATACTGAGCGAAAATATAATCCAAAAAGAAATTAGACCCACATTGTGTAATAAAAATATAGACTGGGTAAGTTTTAAAACTGAATTAAGTAATAGAATTAAACTAAATGCACTACTAAGAACAAAAGAACAACTATAGTACGAGGTGGAAAAACTTGTCATTGACATACAGCAATCGTTATGGAACAATACACCAGAAATTACAAGAAATAAAAGAACTAATAAATAAGAAGAGAACGGCAAGAAAAAAATGGCAAAACACCAAATTTCCTGAAGCTAAAGTAGTTTTCAATAGACTAACACAACAAGTAAAACGAGAAATAATCACTAATAAAAATGAATCAATAGACACATATCTCTACCTCTTCGCCCAGATTCGCTAATGCTTTGAGATGTTTAAATTCGTAAAATGATTTATTTTGAATATATTAAATTTAAAAAAAATAAAAGAGGTATGTGCTTCTTTAATCATTTTTTTTACTACTATAAGTGTCTCTAAGTAATGCTAGCGTATCTTTATAATTTTCATCAATAACTTCTATGTTTTCAATGGCCTCAAGGGCTTCACCCCTTAACGCGCCTGTTAAATAGTGAATTTTTTGATTGACGAACGATAAAAATACTGATTACTCTCTATGGAAAGCGACTAGGAAACTTAATGGTTCAATAATCCTCATGGCACCAATAAAAAAGATAACGGGTAAACATTTAATCATTTTTTTGTAAACATAAACACTTTTTATACTTTCATATTTGTAATAATGCATATAATTATGTAAATTTTTAAAATGCATGTTTTACTTGCAACCGTTTTAATTATTTTTTAATAATTGGTGATATCCCGTAAATAAACAACTTTACCTTAAATTTTTTTATAATTTACCATGATTATCATTATTATCAATTATTGTTTATCTCAAACACATTCATTTACTCAAAACTTAAAAATACTTACTTGTATAGTTTTTTGCTCATATGCGTCCATTTTTTTAATCTTTACATTATTGCTACCAGGCCCATCAAAAATGGCGTGCGCGCCTTTGGCCCACATTATCTGAGACGTTGTAAGCACAATCTGGCTGGCGTGGCAGGTTACCCAATGCGGTCTGGGAACTTCCTGATAATGAGCCAGAGATGTCTTCATGCATCTCTTCAAGGACACGCGCATATTTTCTTCCACTTTTCCTAACCAGTCTTCAACATTACCACGAGCCTAAAAAAAAGTTTGTATACTTTAAAAACAGTACAGGTGCAAAAAGTTAAAATATTTTAATATGTCCGCCCTCGAGTGTCTCCATGTTTCCCATTATATAGCCACAGCACAGTTTATAGCTAAATAATCAGGGGGCGTACCGCCTAACTTTGTGGAAATAGAGTAGAGCAAGAGATAGAAATAGAAAGGAAATTTCTTTCTATCGATGAAATGCACCGCCGATAGACTTCTCTACGATCGATCGGAAACGTTCGGTTTTCTCTATGCTTTTATACTAACCTTTCAAAATAAACTAGAAACATTAGGTAAATTTAGGGATATTCGAGATTTCACTAAAATATTAATTTAAAACTTGAAAAGCGAGTTATTTGTCATTTCTAATTTGTGGTTATGTTTATGTATTTAATAATTTTACTAATTTTGTGAAAATGATACCAGCGTTTTATAATGAAATTTATGATGCGGAACAGGAAGAGCGGAGAGAAGAACTTGCCAGAGAAAGACGAACACTAAGAAATGAAAGTAATCCATTCGAATTGCCAGATGAAGAGTTTAGGAAAATGCATAGACCAAAAGAATTAGCTCAAAATTTAATTGCTGAATTTGAGCCGCATATGAACCACGGGCAAAGAAATACAAGATTACCAATTGACCTAAGAGTTCTTGCTGCTCTGAGATTTTTTGCTCATGGTTCTTACCAAAAATGCATTGAAGCAAACCAAAATGTTTATGTAGCCCAGCAGACAATGAGCGACATTATCAGAGAAGCATGCAATGCCATTGAAGACATTGCCCATAGGTATATAAAATTCCCTACAAATGCGGAAGACATAGGGATAAAAAAACAAGCTTTTTGGAATGCATTCAATTTTCCCGGAATTATTGGCTGCGTAGATGGCACACATGTTGCAATAGTGAAACCAAATGAAGATGAACATTTATATTTAAACAGAAAAGGGTATCATTCGAAGAATGTGCAAATAATTTGTGATGCAGATTTATTTAGTTATTTTAAGCCTAAATGCAAATTTTGGTGGTGCAACACACGACTCTTTCATTTGGCGAAATAGTGCAGCTAAAAATTTTTTGGAAGAAAATTATCAGAATGGTCATCACAACACATGGTTGTTGGGCGATAGTGGATATCCTCAGCAACCATGGCTGATGACTCCGATAAGAAATGCACCAAGAAATTCGCCAGAAAGCCGCAACAATGGTGCTTTAGTTTCCGCTCTAAGTAAATAAATAAACAAATCAATACTCAACAAAATATATTTATACATAAATAAAAAAACATTCTAATGAACACAAATGAAAAAATAATTCTAAAACTAATGAAAACAAAAAAAGAACACTGATGAACAGAAAAAAAATTCTTAAAACGAATGAAAACAAATAAATCACAGATTCTTTTCAATAATGTGATTAACAAATCACTTAAAATCATCTTTAATTTCAACAATCGCAGAGGACATCACCCCTACTTTATTGTCAATTTGTTTTAAAATTTCTAATTGTTCCGCATGCATCCTATTTGGGTACATTTAAATTTTTTCCGGTGAATCATCTCCTCTACACCCGTTTTTCTTTTTGTTGCGGTAGAGGAGGATGATGTTGATGCAATTTGTGCCAGAAATGGTGGTGAAGGTGGCACTTCCATAGCTTTATCCATTTTCCTATTTTCTTTTCCCGTTTTCTGTAGAATAAAAAATATTTAGTTCAAATGTTTAACAAATATAAGTATATTTTGTACTTACAAATCCTAACTCGGTGTTACCGTCACCTGACACCGACCTCCAGCCATATATATTCATTAGCCGCTCTTCGATGTCTGTTAATGGCGGAGCTAAAGATGGCCCACCACCAGTTTTTTGGGATTCGCTCCGAAAAGTGGCAGCCTTACTTTTCACTTTCGACTTCCATCTGCCTATTGCCTAAAAATAATGAATAAAAAAAATTATGTTATACTTTTCTGCGTGTGAAATATTAATTTAAACAATTTGGATAATTTAGATACTTTTGAGTGCATTACATAATAAACTTCAGTGAAAGCCTAGTAAAATATTGAAAGAATTTAAATTTTTATTACCTGTTGCCATTTGGCTACTGACTTCATGCCATAGCCAGTGCTGTTCAGTTGGGAAGTTAATGTTTCCCACAAATCTCTCAATTCCGCATTATCCTCGGCTTGGTTTGCAAATGTTCGTTTTAGCAATTGAGGGTAGGTTTCAAAAAAAATTCACTACTATAGCCTAATGCTTTTGAGTAGCTTAGTATCCCGCTCCCAAATATCTATAATAGTATAACTTTATTAATGCCTAATTCAGAAATAACTTTAATAACTTACCCATGACAATAAAATATAGGTATATTTTTAAAATAAATTCAAAATACACCAACACATACAACTGACACAACAACAAACCTGAAATTTGAGGTTAAAAAGTACTTAGAAAGATCACTTTGCGTCTTTCTATTTCCTGACATTCGGGTTTGCATTCGGGGTTACCGACTCAGTACGATGATGCTTAGGCGGTGCGATTCATAATAGAGATAGAGAAATAGAAAGAAAATTTCTTTCTATTACGTTAGTCGGTACGGTGGCAGTTCGCACATTCTGCTTCGGCACTTTTGATGTCAATGTTCTAGTTTATACATTGCGCAACTCGGATTTGTATCCCTGGAACATACAGAATCAAATCATAATAGTCCAAGAGTCCACAGCAATTGTCACTGTCATGTTTTATGTGATTTTCTGAAAATAATAGAATTTTTTTTAAACACTTTGCACAACATAGAGATTGGCAGAGGTGCAATTTGGTAACTGTTGTTACATGCCTTTCGAGCATATTTCATTTCGTTATCAGATGACGGTCGAAATTTGCAGTGAACTCTCTTACTATAACCAATACAATATATGACAACCGCCTATATTCAAACTGCAGCCTTCTGCGCATCCTAAATTTGTATCCCTGGAGTGGATGTTATTTTGGAACATCAAATTGTTCCGAGTGAGCTAACTGATTCTTTAGTTATAAACTGTGGCCACAGCAATCAACTCAAGTCTTACTTTTTATGATTCGAAGATATATCAAACATTTATTTAGTTTATGTCAATTTGATAAGTAGAGTACGATTCAACTAAGAAAAAGCCACACACATCATACCTGACAAAGGCCGCAATAATTCGCCTCTCTCTCAGGTCCATCCCATTTAAGCGTCAGTGGCGTTTTGGAGATTTTTTTTTCTAATATAGAGATACAATTGCTTAATAATTTGGCAACGCTGTACGACTGCCGCATGGTCCAGAATATAATTCGAACAGAAGCTATCGCGTAAACATGGAACCCTTATTATTGTGAGCCAAACTTCGGCGTTGCCAAGCTTTTACTTTCGAACAAAAATACGGATTCATCGGAAGAAAGTGAAGACAGTGAGAGTATTATACTCTGTTTTTAAACTAGGAGGAGCGAATTGAAAAGACGCATTTACACAGGGAAAAGTAACTAGATTTGTTACTAAGAGCGAGTTTAGAAATATAGTCGTGTTCAAAATTTATGATATAATTATCTTTATCGGCCTTAGTCGGTGAACGGCCAATGAGCGGTTAAGAAACGAATAAATGTCATAAAAGTAATTTTTTAATTGGTCCCAGACAACGGCCGCAAATTTCACATTATTGTGATCTGAAATGTGTGTCTAAAACGAAATGTCACTGTCAAATTAAAGTCAATATGGTTGTTGATTGATGTCACAAATACTTTTTTCTTGCTTTTGAAATCGACTTTTTGAGAATAACTATGATCTTTTTAAAATGGATAATAAATATTTAAGAAAATTGTTAATGGAATATCCAGATGTAGCCAGGTTAGTATAAAATATAAAGATCTGTTTACATTTTTAAGGATATATTTGTTATAGGTATAAAAAGTAAAAGTTTATCAGTGAATGACAAGTGGATCACACAGTAACTGGTATCTCTTCTATGAGTAATGTGGATATTATGGCTTATTTAGTGTTAACTCATGGTTAATGCGCTAGAGGGCAAATAAAGGCATTAAAAAGTTTACAGGCCTATGAGTCAGAATTTGTTTTAAAAACTGGAACCAACATTTTCATAACACTACATGTCAACATATATTTTTTAAAGAGAACTATTCATACATACCTATGTATTAATTTTAAGTATTTTTAAAATATTTTTTGTGAAAATAATGTTAACTCATTGTGCCAAATTAAGATTATCCCTAAAGTAGTAGATGGTGTTTTAAATGTTATAACAATTTTGTAAATAGTTTTATTCTATATAAATAAAATTTACTTGAATATTTAGTCACATTTTAATCATTTTTGTTAGAAATTCATCAATTTTTAGTTTTAAAAAATCAGTAATAAAATTATTTTTTTCTAAAATACTTTGGAATTCATCTCTTCATGGTAATATCCCATCTTTTTACCTTCAAAAACCAATAATGCATTTTCTACAAAACCTTCAGAATCAGCATGTAAAATAATAAGGTGTCTTCCCTTTCTTGTAAGGCTATTCAGGAATTGCTACCTTTAATAGTACTCAGTGTAGAAGGATCCATAATTGTAGATTTTCAATACAATTGCTTACTGAAAAACTATTATTTACGAAATAAAGTAAAAAAAACTAAGTAATGGATGAGATATCAAATTATAAAATGTCAGAACTGTCAACAATATCAATTATTAGCTGATGTTCATGCTAAAAAGTAATGTGTGAAACTGACTGTAATTCTGACCAATCAGAAGGCTACAGAATTGCCAACTTAAATTCAAATCGCTCCTCTTAGTTTAAAAACAGAGTATAATAGTTCATTAACGGACGAACTAGGATGTACTCCTCTAGTTTCACTTTTTGCACTAGTTGCATAAATAACTATTATTTTAATTGTAATAAAAATCTTAAATTACAAAATTGTGTTGCTATTTTTATTTACTTCCCACTGAATTTTTTGCAAGTCTAAAGTCGAAAAATATATGTAATGCTATTTTAGTTTAGTTATTTAGGTAATATACAAATGTTTAAATCATTAAAATTTAACTTTTTAATCCAATAAATGTTTTTTGTTGGGAAACTGCTTTAATTCTTATTTAAATAAGAGCCTACGCCACTGGTATATCAATCTGAAGCAACGGAGAAGGAATATTTTAAAGTGAGGCAGACAATGACTAGTTGATGACGCCCGTGGCTTTTTCTAAGTTGAATCGTACTCTATGTATTTTATTATATTGATGGAGGCTGTGGTTATGTGATACTTGTTACAAGAATATGTCCTAGTTGAGAAAATCTCCAAAGATATAGAACCTATCTATCATTTCTAATATTGGGCAGGTAGGTACATAAGAAGTGCAAACTGTACATTCGATTTCTGCGTTACAAAGTTGACAGTCCTATCCCTCTCATCAAACCCTAAAGAATGCGCAGATTGTTCATATGTTAGTTCTGGATCTAAGCTGGTATGTTCATTAAAGGATATAAATGCAATTGAATAAGTCAGCCCTGTGATATTTTCTAGTACATGAGTGCCTTGTCCTTTATCTAGTTTGAGACGATTCCTTCGACCAAGGAATAGTTATGGATATCTTTAATGATTATCTTGAGATTATCAATAATTAAGCTACGAGTCTATCAAAATATTTATGGCAAAAGGTACAGATGCTATAAAAACTATCAAAAACAGTCATATTCTTCAAGCTTTGTTTAGTAAAATCAGCAAAGAAAAGAAAATCAATGTTTCTCTGAAACTGGCTGTAAGAATGCGATGGGGAAGTCATTTGTTCCGCCTACAGAGCCTTCGCCTAAAAAAAAATTGTTCTACAAATACTAGTGATAAGTGACGAAGTATCTGTAAAACTATCAAAATAATTAAAAACTTTATTAATTGACGACTCTATATTTTGGGTACAAGTTGACAAAATGATAAATATTTTGAGGCCAATTGTTGATCTTATAACAAAGCTCGAATCCAATAAACCTCTGATTCATGACATGTATTCTCAGCTGAACAATCTAGAAAAAGTTTTGAGTTGCTACATCAGTCTCCACTGAAAAAAGTGGATAGGAACAATACATGTAGCTGCAACCATGTTGGGTCCATCTTACCAAGGTCATCAATTGACTGCAGGAGACATAATGGATGCTGTGGAATTTATAATTGACACAGCTACAAAAATGGGATTGGGACTAATAATCGTCGAAATTAAGGGTCTTCTAAGGAAGTCCTATGGTTAAAAAGGTTCATCTAGGAAGGAATGGAAGTTACCAAACCTCTTACTTGGTGGAGAGATATCCATGGTACAAATATACTAGCAGATGTTACAATTAGGATTCTGAGTGCACCTGTAACTTCTGCTGCTACTGAACGATCTTTTAACACGTTCAGCTGGATCCATAGTAAAAAAAAGAAATCGATTGAATAGAGAAAAAACTGCCAAAATTACTTACTTAGATTACAATTGGGACATGTTCGACCAGTCTGATTCAGACAATTCAGATATTGTGAAATAGATGTTTTAATTACAGTAAATATTTTTCATACTAATTGCTTAAATTTAATAGATATCAAGAAATTTCCCAGGAATTTTCCCGCAAAAATAAATACCTGGGTATTTTACATCACTATACGCATAAAATAAAAACTAAAATAAAAGTATCGACTAGAAATCTGCGAAATAAAATTTCCCACAACAGATAAAGTATGAAAAAGTTAAACCTTATTTACTTATTAACCAGTATAACAACAATAATTTATTGTAAAATACGCATACAAGAAATACAACTCTTACTTTAAGGCCTTTTCCGAAGACTACTCTCTCTCCTTCTGGACTGATCATTCCAACAATATCAGTGGTCAAAATAGGTTCTACCGGTTGCGCATGCTTCTTTTTACTTGTTTCTTCTTCCTCTGGCATTTTAACGCCGAACTCCAACTTGGAAATGGCGTCGAAGCACTTTCTCAAATGAGGTTGCACCGCATGGGGATTTCTAGTCTGCGCTAGAATATCCAAAAGTTCATCGTTGGATAAGAAATAGAATCTGGGAAAAGCCACACGCTTGATTTCTAAGTAGGATTCTAGACATTTCATAATTTGTTCTAAAAGCATGTTGTTTCTTTGTAACGCTTCTAGGAGTCCTGGAAAGAGACCTGAATCCATTGCTAGCGGCATCTAAAAATTAGAATTGCTAAATAAGTCGGAAAGTTAACTTATTTTACATATTTGTATCCCTTTCATAGTATTTTACGTTACAAGTACGGTAGGTAACTTATTAGATAACGAATTGTTTTACGGACAAGGCGTTGTAGGAGCCGAGTCAGGAATATAAACGAGTACTGTAATAACACCTAACGAATGTGTATCGTATATTTTATTTCATTCTGTCCTTATAATCAGTTATAAAAGGAATAAATAGATACGAACTACCTAAATAGTACCAATAGGTATCAACAAATATAGGTCCAAAATAAAAATTACCAATTTTAGTTAAGCAAAATATTTTTAAAAATGTAAATAATATTATATTATACACAAGTGAGCTATTATTTACCGAGCACTTTTATACACAGTACTCTGTGAAGAGTATTATAGGTTTATTTTATCAGTCTGTTTGATGTCTGGTTCGATGTCACGTTTTTTGTCTGCACGATAAGTTAAATACGAAATATGATATCAACTTGAAAATGAAAATCTGATTAAAAATCTGATGTGTCCAACACATGACTTTCCTATCTAGTTATTACAGGCTTTTTCCGGTTATTTTGTACAACCTATTGCAGCATCTCTATAAATGTTTAGAGGATAAACTAAATATATACATTGTCCACATACATCTACCGCGAAACATTTTTCTATAGATATTCATTGAAAATGAAAATACTGAAAAATTTAAATTTAGCACTTTTCCTACAATTTTTCCATTACGGTCCATTTTAAAAAAATCATGTATAAACAAATATTATAGAGATCGATATCGCAAACAACTTTTATTTCAACAATTTTCATAAAAATCAGAATTTTGCACATTTTGTCAAATTTTTCGAATACGGACCATTTCAGGAAATTTTGACAAAACACAAAAATTATAGATAATAATATTTGAAGTAACTTTTAATTGAACAATTTTCTTCTCCAAACATAAATAACAGATATATTCCATAAAATATAAAAACGGCCTTCTATAAAGTACCCCCCCAGATGTTCTGACTTTGTCCAAAATCTAATCATTTCACGTCAGGCCGAAATAAACCGTAAGTATAAAATTTAATGTTTTTTTCTTTATCCGTTTTTGAGTTTTCTTCAAAATTCGAAATTTACACATTTTCTCAAATATCTCGAATACGGTCCATTTTAAAGAAATTATGTATGGAATAAAAATTATAGAGAATTATATTACAAACAACTTTTATTTGAACAATTTTTATAAAAAATTATTTTTTTTTACATTTTCTCAAATTTCTCGAATACGGACCATTTTAGGAAAATTTTGCATAAAACAAAAATTATAGATAATTATATTAGAAGTAACTTTTATTTGAAGAATTTTCTTCTCCAAACGTAAATAACAGATATATTCCATAAAATATAAAAATGACCACCTATAAAGTACCCCCCAGATGTTCCGACTCTGTCCAAAATCTAATCAGCTCATTGGACGCTGAAACAAAGCTTAAGTTTAAAATTTGGTGTTTTTTTGTGTATCGGTTCATGAGTTATGCGTTATACAGACACACACACAGACACACACACACACACACACACACACACACACACACACACACACACACACACACACACACACACACACACACACACACAGACAGATAGACATCATCGCGAAAATAGTCAAAACGGATTCAGAGGACCTCAAAACGTAAAAATCCGTCGAAAACTCGAGGTCGAAAAAAATCATGATTTTTATACTTTCCTTATATCTGTATACAGATAGGAAAGTAAAAATCTGATGTGTCCAACACATGACTTTCCTATCTAGTTATTATAGGCATTTGCCGGTTATTTTGTAGAACCTATTGCAGCATCTCTATAAATATTTAGAGGATAAACTAAATATATACATTTTACACATACATCTACCTCGAAACATTTTTCTATAGATATTCATTGAAAACGAAAATACAGAAAAATTTAAATTTAGCACTTTTCCATTACGGTCCATTTTAGAAAAATCATGTATAAACAAAAATTATAGAAATCGATATCGCAAACAACTTTTAGTTCAACAATTTTCATAAAAATCAGAATTTTGCACATTTTGTCAAATTTCTCGAATACGGACCATTTCAGGAAATTTTGACATAAAGCAAAAATTATAGATAATAATATTAGAAGTAACTTTTATTTGAACAATTTTCTTCTCCAAACATAAATAACAGATATATTCCATAAAATATAAAAACGGCCTCCCATAAAGTACCCCCCCAGATGTTCCGACTTTGTCCAAAATCTAATCATTTCACGTCAGGCCGAAATAAACCTTAAGTTTAAAATTTAATGTTTTTTCCTTTATCCGTTTTTGAGTTTTCTTCAAATTTCGAAATTTACACATTTTCTCAAATATCTCGAATACGGTCCATTTTAGAGAAATTATGTATAGGACAAAAATTATAGAGAATTATATTATAAACAACTTTTATTTGAACAATTTTTATAAAAAATTATGTTTTTTACATTTTGTCAAATTTCTCGAATACGGACCATTTTAGGAAAATTTTGCATAACACAAAAATTATAGATAATTATATTAGAAGTAACTTTTATTTGAAGAATTTTCTTCTTCAAACGTAAATAACAGATATATTCCATAAAATATAAAAATGACCACCTATAAAGTACCCCCCCAGATGTTCCGACACTGCCCAAAATATAATCAGCTCATTGGACGCTGAAACAAAGCTTAAGTTTAAAATTTGGTGTTTTTCTGTGTATCGGTTCATGAGTTATGCGTTATACAGACACACACACACACACACACACACACACACACACACACACACACACACACACACACACACACACACACACACACACACACACACACACACACACACACACACACACACACACACACACACACACACACACACACACACACACACACACACACACACACACACACACACACACACACACACACACACACACACACACACACACACACACACACACACACACACACACACACACACACACACACACACACACACACACACACACACACACACACACACACACACACACACACACACACACACACACACACACACACACACACACACACACACACACACACACACACACACACACACACACACACACACACACACACACACACACACACACACACACACACACACACACACACACACACACACACACACACACACACACACACACACACACACACACACACACACACACACACACACACACACACACACACACACACACACACACACACACACACACACACACACACACACACACACACACACACACACACACACACACACACACACACACACACACACACACACACACACACACACACACACACACACACACACACACACACACACACACACACACACACACACACACACACACACACACACACACACACACACACACACACACACACACACACACACACACACACACACACACACACACACACACACACACACACACACACACACACACACACACACACACACACACACACACACACACACACACACACACACACACACACACACACACACACACACACACACACACACACACACACACACACACACACACACACACACACACACACACACACACACACACACACACACACACACACACACACACACACACACACACACACACACACACACACACACACACACACACACACACACACACACACACACACACACACACACACACACACACACACACACACACACACACACACACACACACACACACACACACACACACACACACACACACACACACACACACACACACACACAGACATCATCGCGAAAATAGTCAAAACGGATTCAGGGGACCTCAAAACGTAAAAATCCGTCGAAAACTCGAAGTCGAAAAAAATCATGATTCCTATACTTTCCTTATATCTGTATACAGATAGGAAAGTAAAAATGGAGAGTGTAAGGGGGGTTGAAATAAAAAAATCTGATGTGTCCAACACATGACTTTCCTATCTAGTTATTACAGGCTTTTTCCGGTTATTTTGTACAACCTATTGCAGCACCTCTATAAATGTTTAAAGGATAAACTAAATATATACATTTTCCACATACATCTACCTCGAAACATTTTTCTATAAATATTTATTGAAAACGAAAATACTGAAAAATTTAAATTTAGCACTTTTCCTACAATTTTTCCATTACGGTCCATTTTACAAAAATCATGAATAAACAAAAATTATAGAGATCGATATCGCAAATAACTTTTAGTTCAACAATTTTCATAAAAATTAGAATTTTGCACATTTTGTCAAATTTCTCGAATACGGACCATTTCAGGAAATTTTTACATAAAACAAAAATTATATATTATTAGAAGTAACTTTTATTTAAACAATTTTTTTCTCCAAACATAAATAACAGATATATTCCATAAAATATAAAAACGGCCTCCCATAAAGTACCCCCCAGATGTTCCGACTTTGTCCAAAATCTAATCATTTTACGTCAGGCGGAAATAAAACTTAAGTTTAAAATTTAATGTTTTTTTCTGTATCCGTTTTTGAGTTTTCTTCAAATTTAGAAATTTACACATTTTCTCAAATATCTCGAATAGGGTCCATTTTAGAAAAATTATGCATGGGATAAAAATTATAGAGAATTATATTACAAACAACTTTTGTTTAAACAATTTTTATAAAAAAATATTTTTTTTTTTACATTTTGTCAAATTTCTCGAATACGGACCATTTTAGGAAAATTTTGTAAGAAACAAAAATTATAGATAATATAAGAAGTAACTTTTATTTAAAGAATTTTCTTCCCTAAACATAAATAACATATATTCCATAAAATATAAAAATGACCACCTATAAAGTACCCCCAGATGTTCCGACTCTGCCCAAAATCTAATCAGCTCATTGGACGCTGGAACAAAGCTAAAGT